TTGCTTAGTCTGAGAGAAGACCCTTTGGTAACGCCCTTGCTGATCTTGCTCGTGCAGGCACGCTTTCTGGACACGACGGGGCCTCGGTCGTGTTTGGTGAACGTATCGGATTGATCATCGCGACGAAATCGATTGCAATCGCGATTTGCTTTGCTTGACGGCTAGATTTTAACCTTTTACGCCATTAATTAACAAGATAGAAACAGTTGATGCCCAATTTTGTCTGTTCAAAAGTTTTAGGTCTAAGATTACCAGTCTATATATATGGTCTATGATTGCTCATACGTACATGAAGCGAAAGTCGTCTTAGTGCCGTCCGTTGTTGAATCGCCCTCACAAATGCACAAGCCGCATTACTGCATGTTGCGGAGCTGTTAAAGACATCAGGATAGTCGGGAGCATTGTTGGTAGCAAAAAGTCTGGCATTTGAGAAGTTTTAGGGTCGACCCCAGGACGCGACTGCATTAAATTACAGCCATCTTGTTTGCAGTTAATGGAGAAGTAATACACAGTGGTGTCTGTAAATAAAAGCTGATAAGAAGTTTGGGATACCTTTTTTACGAACGAAAAACTCCCTTCCCTTGGCCTTCACGATTTTTACGTTGCATGAAGCCAAAATGCTGCGCAGGACGCCGAAGAGATAACGACTACCTAATAGTCTTTAGAAAAGTTCACGGTCTGTGTAACCTAATTGGGATACTTAGATTGGAAGCGTCGCAAAAATAGCAAAATTACGGTAACTCTGTGAAAAACGAGCTGTTGCTGTTGCCATTGGTAATAACGGCACAAACGGATGGATTAGCCGGGGCACAACACTACAGACCAAAACAAATATTACAGCGCTAAGACTACGTACCTCACTACTATGTCTATGAGATAGACTAAGACACATAAGAGGCTACGATGAAGGACCAAACCTACACCGTCAATGCTATTCATTTATGCCCACAATATGGCACCTCAAGACACGATTGCGCAATCGGAAAAAAGGCGAGTCCCGATTAAGTCTCCGAGTCGGCAAGCGGAACACAAAAAAAAAACGATTTTTTGATTTGCAATAGTCGTAATCGACTCAAAGAAGCAAGTACGTATACTTTGTAAGTATCGAAATAATTTAGAATTCTTCGGGAGTCTGGACAACGAACGCAAAAACACCAAAGAGGGAAGTTGTCCAATCTCTATGTACAAATAAAATTAGGAGAAAACATGTACAACGCTGAGACGCGAGAAGGAGAACGGTACGCAGGCTTAATAGCCCCTGCGGCAAAGCGCGAAATGCACACGGCCGCTGCATAGGAGAGAGCGAGAAGACCTGGTCGCAAGGTTGTTTCATCGATAAGGACGCAGCTAGAGCGTTGAGAGCGCTACAACGGAACGTCCAGTTGGCACTAAACCCATCTTTTATCTCCTACTCTGAGCCTTCAACAATTACATCCTCGTCCCGAAATATTAACACTTGTGAAGTTATGATATATACAGATACTAAAGATATGCATGTACTTGCTTTCAAGCAGAACACAGAGGAAAACAAACTTAGCGGGAGTGTTTACGTGTTCGGCGTAATGACGTACAACGGCCTCGACAATTTCTGTAGTCCTATTCAGCCACTCGGTAACAACCATCGTTTTTCAGACACGTAAACTCTTCAAAAATCCCCAGTGGGGTCACTGCTGACGTATTTAATGTCGTAGAACAAAACGTCAATTACCTCTTAAATTTGTGTCAACCACAGACCTTATTTCGAGCTATTTTCCAAAACCCTATGGAAAAAATGCATTGCTTTTTGAGGAAGGAACCGGAAGTGCTAAAAATGCTAACTTACTTCCGGGTTTTACGACGCGTCACTGCGGCTCTCTATTGCTGATGGATTATCAGAAATCTTTTCAAAGTGACACAGACACATTGGATTAACCTATGAATTAACCTTCAGCAGCGTTTTTATCGTTTTAATGCCATTGAAGACAACTTTTGATCAGACAACGACAAAGGTAAGACATATTGCCGTGTTTGCTACCTAATGCCACGTGTTGTGATGTCTGGTTTTGTTTATAATGTCGCGAGTTCTGATCATGGAGTGATGATACAGATACCTATCGATTCTGTGTATTCTCACGATGCTATTCCATGGGTTGGATGTGCAGTTACGATAAGTAATAAGGGTGTTATACCGTGAGTTCTGTGCTAACGGCGTTAGCATTTTTCCGCTCAGGGCTAATTCAGAAGCTCAGCGTTCGCCTTGTGTTTTTTTTTGCTAAAAAAATAAAAGATTATCAGTTAGCTGAGTTTCTTCCCGTTACATGCATATGAAACATTCATAGTTTATTAAATCTTAAGAAGCCCTCAGACACTGTTGCTTGCAGATTTTGTGGTTTCTTAACAGGTAGAGATACATGTTTATTTTAATCACATTTTTGTACATGTTGCAGGAAGTTGGATTTCCCCTCTTGCCATGCAGTCCGAATTATGGGGACGCCAGTTTGAGTTTAGTGTGCAACGGAAGAACGTATATCATAGCACATGGTAGATTTGGACACAGCGTTTACAACAAAGTAGCTATTCCTGCGTGATCTCGCAACTCTCGCGATGTTGCCTTGCAAGGTAACGTGATTTGGGTAGACATAGAGGATGAGACTGAAGTTGTATGTAGGAGCAGGCATTTTATAATTGTGAAAATTCACAATACTAACATGCATTCTATAATTAAGGCAGGAAATAAAAAGGGGCTTCAGCAGTCTCAATTAGAAAATCAAATAAGGTATATATTCCAGAGTTTCAGTCTTTTTACAATAACATTTTAAAACAACATGTTTTCTTTATGATTTATCATCTTTTTAAATGTAAACTCTGCATCTTTGCATTTTTTTTCATGTCTGTTCCTGAATGAGTGGTAGGTAATCAATTATACATAAAAAACTGCTACGGGCAATATCTCCACAAAGATAGTTCTGAATTGAAGAATATTGCTCTAAAATGATTACCATAAATGAATTGTAGATTGAAAGCACACCCGAAAGAGGGAAATCCTTTTCTCATAGAACAACCCCGGTGAAACAAATACAATGAAATGCATGAATGTCTGTATTTGAATAAGTAGTCAAAAGCCTGGAAATGCCATGGAAACCAATCACTGCTCGCTGGGGCTCATTTATCTGCCTGGAAGATGAGATGGAGAAGGGAGGTGGGGGGTTGGTGGGAATAAGAAGTATGATACAAGGTGATGGGGATGCACACAGGAGTTAATGTGATAGGAAATACAGAGACATTTATGGCAGTGAGAGAATGAATGGGATCAATTTTCCCTCTGCTTCAGTCCACTTACATTTTGAAAACACGTCTCACTATCAGATGTGAATGTTCTAATTAGTTTTGTACTAGGGAGGATTTAATCATACCATGTGTTTACACAAGCAGTTTTTTTCTCATAGGTCGAGACCGTTTCCAGGCGTCCTGTATGGAGAACAGACAGGTTCAGCTGTGGCATGAGGGATAGCTTTATCAATAATTGAAAGCTTTATTCATGATATAGCAACTGGATTATGGATTTCTGAGCAAAACGCGCTGCATTAAAAATATGATCATAATTCAACTTTTTCCACTATACAGTAGATCTTCTGCTTTCCTTATCACTACACATCAATTACTTTAAATGGGCATATTTATTGCTGCTTTTATCAATATTTTCCTTTTTAACGCATTTAAAATATGCAACACTAAGCTGTCTGTGGCTCTTTCCTGCTGTAACGCTGCAAATTTCCCCTCTGTGGGACTAATAAAGGTATTCTGATTCTGATTCTGATGAAGATATGGAACTAAATACATGTGTTCCTAAGATTAAAGGGGTTGCTTGCTGTGACAAATGATTTAAGACTGTTTCAAGCTTGTGGCGAGCTCAATAAAACCCAGATATATTTATCAGAAGTTAATATTTTGACTCAGATGGCCATAAAGTAATCTCAACTCAAGTAGGAGGATAATGTTAATCTGATAATGCTTCATTACCATTTTTGTCATTATAAATCACATTAATGCGTTACTGCATTTCCATACCACAGCTTACACATAAATTACATTTACTATTGTTTATCCTTTAAATTAAATTCCTCAATCCCAGTAAAAACCCTTGGAGAGCTACATACATTTAAATAATGTGGCTTAGATAGTTCCTACTGCAGAAAAATAATCACATCAATTTCACACATACTGTAGACCCCCATTTCCATTCCTAAGGCAGAAAAAGGCAATTCCAGAGCCAGCCTCCCATCAAGAGGAGTAACCATTCATTTGAAAGAGGGTGAATGCATAATATGCTGTGAATTGTCACATGCACTTGATTGCTTCTTTTCACATTTGAGGCCAATTGAGGGACAGAAAAGCTTATTTTTTATCCCACTTCAGTTCAGGAGACAGAATCGAGGTGGCATGATGTAATGCAGCGCTTTGTTTTGGCAGGTAGGTAGAAGCTCCCATATACCCTGGCAGACGACCGACTAACAATGCACTTCAACAGACTGTAATAACCTTAAAGATGGAGCTCAGAGGGCAGAATGGAGCTGTCAAATCATTTCTCCTTCCTCCCCATCTTTGAAAAGTGTTCGGGGTGTAATGCATAGCTGAAGGAACACTCAATGACAGCGAGGTAGACGGAAAGAAAGTGATCAAAAGTGAGGAAAGGCAGAGGGAGAAATGAGAGGATGGGGTGGGGGCAGAGTGGAGGAGATAGGAGTAATCAGGGCTGTGATAACACATTGTGTGTGTGTGTGTGTGTGTGTGTGTGTGTGTGTGTGTGTGTGTGTGTGTGTGTGTGTGTGTGTGTGTGGTGTGTTGTGTGTGTGTGTGTGGTGGTGTGGTGGTGTGTGTGTGTGTGTGTGTGTGTGTGTGTGGTTTGTGTGTGTGGTATCTTTCAGTGAGCGAGGTGTACGGAGGCCCTGCAGGGGGGGGGGGGTTGTTGTCAAGGACAACACGATGCACCACCATGCTGATGGGAAGCTTGCTGCTGTCAGACATTCAGAAAAGCAAAAGCATTTATGACATTTACTTCCATGTGATGTGATTCAAAACAACATTGTTTTCTACTGCATTATTTTAAGCACTGCTGTGCATTCAAATATAATCTGTACAGATTGTTTCTTAAATCTAAAGCCCTAAATCTAGATTGTAAATGTTCGGAGGAACCATTTAAATATATATAATTCATAGATGACTCATTTGTGTAAGCACAGGCTTGTGTAAAGATTAACAGATTCAAAATAGAAATCCGAAAGACCAAACATTTTGCAGTTTTGTTCCATCTCTTTCAGAGACAGATGATTTGTGAATGTTTTCTGAACTCTGGTATGATTTCAATATAATATATTATTTCCAAAACACCTAGCACTAAAAACCAGACTTTTTCTGCGAGCTTTCACACCCCAATAGATGTTTTATGTACTAACGCTTTTTCTAAAAGGGTTAGTACAAAAGACGAGTTGGTCAGCCATCAGCTTTACTATAGGTAAGACAGGAAAAACAGAAACACAAAGACAAACAAACCCTTCCTGGGTCATTTATAATTTGATTTCCCATCCCAACATTTGCCTAATGAAATATTTATCAAATGGATGCACTTAGAATAATAGGCAGCATGCCCTGTGTGCTTCAGATCCCACAGACAGTAACAACAACATCCCTCTGGCTGACTCTCAGCTGTGTGCTTTATACATCAAAGCATTTCATCAAAAATAGTTTTTAACAGCCTCTTACCCCCGTTGTTGATCTCTTTGGCTAATGATGACTCAGTGGGTTTGCCTGGGCATTGATTTGAAATGTATTTCATAGCTCCTACTGTTTTGGAAGTGCATCTATTTCAGACGGAAATACTCTGTGTTTGAGAAATGGCCTCAAAATGAAAACAAGAGAAGGGAGATGTAAATCAGTTGTTTCAGTTCTACTCTTTGTTCTACAAGCCATGTTGCAAATTATGTGATGCAGTCACAAAATCAATGTATACATAATATTCAAGTTATTGGTTTAATTGAAATAAAATGAATCTAAAAATATACTCACTGTAAATCACTTGCCTCAAAGTTAACATTCTGAACTGAAAAATCCACTGAGTAAAAATGATCGAAGGGGAACAATAATAATAAGACTTTTTTTTAAATCCCTTTGTCACAAGCTTAGTTTTGTGTTTAGTTTCCTGTTTTTAAATGTATTCGCTCCTGTTTTTTTCCATCCTGTGTTTCCCCTCCAGTTCACCTGCTGCCCCTGTGTTTCACCTCCCCTCTCCAGCTGTGTCTTGTCTTGTGATTACTCTTGTGTGTATTTAGTCTTGCTTTCCCAAGTGTTTTTCGTTGGGTCGTCGTCTCCATGTTTGTTCCTGGCTGTTGTTTCCTTGATCCTTCCTCGTGTTCCCATTTGTGGATGTTTGTTATCAGCTTTTTGAATTAAAGCTCGCTTTTTGTTAAGAACACTTGATTCCTTATTTTTTTTACTGCTCTTGGGTCTGCATTCTTGCCAAAACCGTGACACCTGTTCTTTATGGGATGAAAACATAATCAATGTAACAAAACTAATTTGTGTATTTGGCATATTATGCATGTTATGACCTTTCATCATCAGATCAAGGGGCGTTGGTAAACACCAGTTCGAAACCCGCTTCGGCCGCCACTGAGTCAGGCCGTTGTGTCCTTGAGCAAGACACTTCACCCTAATTTGCCCCTGTGGTTATCGTCCACAGTAATAACTGTTACATGTCTAATATGTGTAATGTGTAATTGTAAAGCACTTTGAGTGCCTTGAAAAGCGCTCTAATAAAAAATGTAATGAATTATTATTATTATTCAATTACACATCCAGCATTTGATATCCAGGATTTAACATTAGCGACATCACCACTGACAGTCTATATACAAATTCAACTGCATTGACCATCTCATTTTTTACTTTGTCCATTTGGTGTCGGGTATGGTTGTGTAGCTACCGTGCCGTGGGTCTTAGTATTATTGGGATTTGAACCTGGAATATTTCCCATACCTCCAAAAAATGCACACACACAAGTTAAATGCAGTGAGTGTTTTACCAGAAAACTATTTAGTTAATTTTTCCAAAGTTACAGAATGAACATGATGAAATGTATGTAATTTTGGACACATCTTGTTTTGCCTGTATGTCCCCAGGCAGTGAAGAGCTATAAAAGAAAGATGGCTTTAGATGGCTGACAGTGTTACACAAGCAAATGTGACTTGATAGCACATGGATGCCCAGCAGGCTGATTCCCTCTGCTGCCTGTGACATCTTACCTGTCAGCAACACTGTGCATGGAAGGACACACACACACACACACACACACACACACACACACACACACACACACACACACACACACACACACACACACACACACACACACACACACACACACACACAGACACANGTGTCACGTCTTACTAGGGATGCAAAATTCCGGGAATTTTCAAAGATGGAAACTTTCCATGGGAATAAACGGGAATTTATGGGAATAAACGGGAATAAACTGGGGTTTATTCCCGTTTATTCCCATAAATTCCCGTTTATTCCCATGGAAAGTTTCCATCTTTGAAAATTCCCGGAATTTTGCATCCCTAGTAAGACGTGACACGGACCCTTAAACCTTACCAAAGGATTCAGTGGCCCATGGATATTGTATTGAGATATGGCCAGAAATCATAACTTTAACATAACATTGTTACTTTCACTTCAACAGTTTTAGTTCTTTAGGCTGGAAATACATGCGGAATGTCAACCTTGCTCATCTTGAATCACCCACCATCAGAAAGTAAGAAAGTGTATTATAAATAAGCGTTTGCAGTAGGCCACCACGCAATGCAGGCTACAACTAGCCTAGAGGATAGGTGCGCAATGCTCGGCTGATTTAAGCATGGTCAAATAAAATTACCATTACAATATGCCATGTTGTTGCCTTTTAGCAGGGTTTATCTGTGTTAGTTGCAAGTAAACGTATTTGCACTAAACAACTTCACTTTGCCTGGATTGATTGTTTCTTGAATGGCAGCAATCAATTTGTTTCTCTTTCTCTTTTGTTTAACTTTTGGCTGTCTGTGACAAGATGTTGTTAAATTGTAATCTGTTACACCCCAAGTCTGGTAACTCCAGTCATGACGTTATGTTAATACCATCTATACATACTAGTGTCACAGATAGCCAATATTCATGAGACAACAATAGCCCATCATCGCTTGAAACTTTCATGAATATTTCACTCAGTGATCAGTCATGCTAAAGCTCAACTTAAAAAGTTAACAAAAGAATCATGGTAATGTGAACTATGCACTACAGTATTTGATCCTGTGTGTATATGTTTGTAGGTGTAGCAAAGAAGTGGAAGAGAGGGACAGACAGCTTAATGACTGACTGCCTATTTAATTGACAGATGGGATGTTGATGGCTGTTCAGCTGCCTCCACTGTGGAGCCACCAGTGGTCTCCATGACGATCTCACGACTCCAAACCCACTCAGGACCTTGGATTAGAAACACAAACACATCAGTCCAAGGTTTGTACTACACACACATTCCCACTAACCCACTTACACATTATATAGTTACCTTGCCCCTTTATACAACCACAACAACAACACCCCCACTGTTACACCATGACTTATTGATTTATGATGACCTGTTGCTTTATTGTGAATTATATCTGGTTGATTGTTGTGTTACTGAGATAAACAATGTGCATCCTCAGCTCTGGTAAAATGAAAATCCCCTTCTGATTTCAATTGATGGCTTGGCTGTAAATGTTGTAGCCTGCTTTCAAGCTCATTCACTGAACTAAAAATGCAAATGCGGTAGATAGCTATCTGTAACTGCCGTGTGTGCAACTCTGTGCACGGTGTGCATTTGTATTTAGAGAATCTGTGGTGCATGTAGCCAAAGCTGCATTCTGCATGTTAAACGTATTTAACTCTGTCAAAAGCCCAAATCCAAATGCAGATTACTTTAATTGTTAATACTTCAGCTTAAGCAAGATGAGGATTTTCACTGATCACTTTTTGTTGATTGCAATCACTTATGTATTTTCTAACAAATGACCCAGAGCTCCTTTAGCTAAAAGCCCTATGTATTACGGATGAAGCTGTAAGGCAATTGGTTAAAGTTTGTCTTGCATACTAAATAACCCATGTGTTATGAAGCAGCATGCAGGACAGACATCATAATGGGGTCAGGTATGATGGAAAAAGGCTTCCACTTAGATTAAAAAAAACACGGTATGACCACGTTTTAATGCAATCCTCCCTTATTCCCATACATCTTGCTCAATTAAAACAACTGATTTCGCACAAATTGTGTGCTTGGAATTTTTGTTCAATCTCATGTCCCTAATGCCGAAAAAATGATCTGCTTGGTTGATCCTGTAGAATCGCACAGCTTGAAGATAAACTAAAAGCCTTCTCTTAAAGGTCACCTCTATTATACACTGCTATGAATGGTTATATGGAGGTATGAGGGGCCGTACAGGCCGTAATTCATACTGGTCCTCTCACACTCATACATTCTCCTTTTACATACATATATTTTCACTCTTAAAGGTCGAGCGGGGCGGGCTCATGTTCAGAACTTCTGATTCAAATCAACATGATGGAGGGAGATGAATCCGTGTATCTTCGGACCATTTGTTTTTGGTATGTGTATTTTTATCTGTGCATGTGGGAGAGGATGACCAATAGTTCTGAATTCTTAATCCATCTGGAGAGAACTGCAGGGCTTCTGAAAAGTAAAGCAGGCTTGACTGATCACGACTCAAATACTTCTACTTGGAGGGAGGTCAGGATAACCTCCTTGAAAATCTTCAGCCTCATTTACCCTTCTGCAGCACAGTCTCTAGCCGGGCATGTCCCTTTGGTTTGTTGAGTTTTTGTTGTTACAGAGGGTTACGGTGACATTTGGCTTTTTTTTTCTCTGCCTAAGTACCTGTTTATGCAGCTGAGACTTTTAGCTATAACTGTATTTTGTCACAGCATTTAATTTACCGAGAAGTT